TTAGCAGAGACTTAAGGAAGTTGCTTGAGAGAGATGCAGTAAACATTTGCTGCCTCAATTCAGGGTGAGGGAGTTTTAGCTAAAGCAGCTTAGGTACAAGGACGCATGGTTCCCCATGGGAGAACCTATCCATGGGCGTGGTTCCTGTGTGCCACCTCGCTCCTGCTAGCTTTCCAAATCGGGCTGGGCTACATTCGCCACTGCCATGCATATCAGTTCCCTATAACAGGGAAGTCAAGGACAGAATAGGGAATATACTCGATAACATGGTAACAACTACGTATGGTGGCAGAGGGCACTTGAAATATAAAGGGAAACACTTTGAAAAGTATAGATTGTTCTGCGTGGCATGGGCCCAGCTGCCACCCAGAGATGCACAGGACCCACGCCTACGGATAGGTTCTCCTGTGGGGAATCAGGCCTGCATTGTACCTGGGATGCTTTGAGACTTGCTTTTTGCTAAAACTCCCTCACCCTGAGTTGAGGCAGCAAACATTCACTGCATAGCTTTAAAGCAACTTCCTAAAATCCATGCTAAACCTTCCAAAGATGAGTGTAACCAGTTCGACCACTTTTCCCTTTGCATTTACAAATATCCTTCTTCTGTGATGTGATTAGTGGCATCCTCTCCTTTGTTTTCTGTAAAAGGTAACCACCTAAAGTGAACCTGCTCATAATAAATGAGGATTCATCATGTAATGTGCCCAGAAAAGCAATAAAAGCTTGTCAAGGCAAGGGCTGAAGCTTTTTTCCTCTTGAGAGAGAAGCTGCACCGTCCCTTTTCCTCCACAGGACTTGGTATTCCATGTGAATTTGTCTTGTCTCATCTATAATGCCTTGGACCCCATCAGCCGGGGTCCACATCAGTAAAGTCTATTATTGTGTAACCACTAAATAGACAATAACATACTAATGTATGTTATTGCATTATTGCTGAAACTAGCAATAATGTACACCTGAAACTAATACAAATAATATTGAATGTAAACTGTAATTGAAATATAAAATTAAAATATATGTTTCTAATTACTGTGAAAATAAAATAACTGGGAAATCAACTTTGATAGATTAAACTATTTTTACTTAGTGAAATGACTTACAGGGTTAATAAAGATTAATGATGACATCAAAATACAGCTATACTAAAGAACAGCCACCCTTCAGAGCTGCCTGAAATCTAGCCCAAAGGAAGTAGTACAACTAAGGATGTATAGAAGCCACACCGAGACTGTTAGGAGGGTCAGAGACACAGAAGGGCTGGTCCCACACCCGTGTGGCTGATAAAAATTGGGAAGGATAGCTCATGAGGGGTCCCAGCCCCACATCAGGCCCCCCAGCCCAGGCCGGTTCCAGTGTCAGGAAGAAAAGTCCCCATGACTTCTGGCTATAAAAACAAGTGAGGGCCTTGGCTGGTGTGGCTCAGTGGATTGAGCACCAGACTGCGAACAAAAGGGTCACCAGTTCAATTCCCAGTCAGGGCACATGTCTGGGTCATGGGCCAGATCTCCAATAGGGGTCACTCAAGTGGCAACCACACATTGATGTTTCTCTCCCTCTCTTTCTCACTCCCTCTTTCTCATTTCCTTCCCCTAAAAATAAATAAATAAAATCTTAAACAAACAAATAAGCAAGGATGTTGGGTGAGTGAGACGGAGGCTTCCGGAGTCCCAGGCAGTTCCTCTTAAAGGGTCAGCACACAAATGTACTTGTACTCACTCTGAGCTGCAGCCCTGGGGCAGCTGTTGAAAGGCACCAGGGACAGCCCTGACTGGGTAGCTCAGTTGCTTAAAGCATCATTCCGATACGCCAAAGTTGTAGGTTTGATGCCTGGTCAGGGCACATACAAGAATCAGCCAATGAGTGCATAAGTACGTGGAGCAACAAATCGATGTTTCTCTCTAAAATAAACATTTTTTAAAAAGGCACCAGGGACATATGGGGGTTCTGAAGTGTCTGGCATCAGGGTGAGAACTACAGAGGCAGCGTTCTCCCAGCTGGAAATGCTGGCAGAGGCCATTATTCCTTTTCTGAGCCCTCCAGCCACAAAGCTGGCAGGCAGGCACCGTATCCAAGTGTCCGTCAACCTGGCTATTACTGTTCGCCCCACTCTGGTGAGTCCCCGAGTTCCCCCACCCAACTTTCAGGCCCACACAAGCTGTATCCAGTGGGTTTTCCCTATGAACAGCCTGTCTTGGCTCACGCTTCAGATTTTCCTAAATTCTCTCAAACAAGCAGCGTCTGGCCTGTTTGCCCCATGCCTCTGGCTAAGGGGCCCCAGGTGCAGCACTAGCAGCAGCCATCCTTGGTTCCCAGCGTGGCTTCCGGACACCTCCAAGCCCAGCACAAGCAGTCGCCATCTGCAGGTCACTTTGCAGTTCATGCCAGGTGTCCCCTGTCAGGACACAGGCAGTGTTGACTTTGGCCTGAACCTTTCCCAGAGCCAGTGCACATGGTGGACAGCTTCAGACCACGTAGAAGCACCACCCAATCTCCTCCACAAGGGACACGCTCAAGGGGTTTACCCAGCAGGCACCAGAGCCCTGCTGAAATGGGTTCTGCACCGTGGGGTGGGCTCCTCCACAATGGTTGTAGCCACGCTTTGTCTACAATTAGCCTGGTGGTAAATCTCTGCCACTGATGTGTCAACAGCAATTAAGGCTCAACTATAGCAGGAGGGTGCACACAGCCCCACATGGATTGGTGCACCCGGAGGGCCCAGCCTGGATAATCAGGTAGGCTATGCCCCTGGACCCCACAGGACACTTACTACACTACGCCACTCTCTATCAAACCTGGGAGTCATAGCAGCTCTGCCTAATACATAGAAACAAACACAGGGTGGCTGCCAAAATGAGGAGACAAAGGAACATGGGACCAAATGAAAGAACACAACAAAACTCCAGAAGAAGAACTAAACAAAATGGAGACAAGTGATCCATTAGATGAAGAGTTCAAACCACTGGTTATAAGGATGCTCAAGGAAGTTAGGGGAAGGACAGATAAACTTAGTGAGACCTTCAACAATATAAGAAAGGACATGGAGACCACAGATAAAGCCGTCAGAAAGGAAGGATTCACTAACTGAAATGAAGAATAATCAAAAAGGAATCAATAGCGGAGTAGATGAAGCCAAGAATCAAATCAGCGATTTGGAATGTAAGGAAGCAAAAGACACAATCAGAACAGCAAAAAGAAAAAAGAATCGAAAAAAAATGAGGGTCGTGTAAGGAGCCTCTGGGACAACTTCAAGTGTACCAACAACATTCACATCATGAGGGTGCCAAAAGGAGAACAGAGAGAGTGAGAATTTGAAAACCTATTTTAAAAAACAATGACAAAAGCCTGGCTGGTGTGGCTCAGTGGATTGAGCATGGGCTGTGAACCAAAGGATCACTGGTTCGATTCCCAGTCAGGGCACATACCTGGGTTGTAGGCCAGGTCCCCAATGGGGGACTCATGGGAGGCAACCACACATTGATGTTTCTCTCCCTCTCTTTCTCCTTCCTTTCTCCTTTCTCTAAAAAATAAATAAATAAAATCTTTAAAAACAATGTCTTCATTTGCTTATACAAAGAAAAAAGGATGACAGAATACTTCCCTAACCTGGTGAAAGTGCAGAGTCCCAAACAAGATGAATGCAAAGAGGCCCACACCAAGACACATCACAATTAAAATGCCAAAAGTTAAACATAAAGAGAGAATCTTAAAGGCAGCGAGCAAAAAAGCAGTTTGTTACCTACAGGGGAGCTCCCATAAGACTGTCAGCTGATTTCTCAACAGAACTTTGCAGGCCAGTTGGGACTGGCCAGAAACATTCAAAGTAATGAAAAGCAGGGACCTACAGCCAAGACTGCTCTACCCAGCAAAGCTAGCATTCAGAATCAAAGGGCAGATACAGAGCTTCCCAGACAAGAAAAAGCTAAAAGAGTTCATCACCACCAAGCCAGTATTAAATGAAATGCTAAAGGATCTTTCTTCTTCTCTTCTCTTTTTCTTTCTTCTTCTCTTTTAAGAAGAGGGAAAAAATACAACAATAAAATGGCAACAAATACATATCTATCAATAACTGAATCTAAAAAACAATATAAATGAAGAAACAGAACAGAAACAGACTCATAAATACAGAGAACATTTTGACAGTTGCCAGATGGGAGGGGGTTGGGGGCTGGGTGAAAGAGGTGAAGGGATTAGGAAGTACAAATTGATAGTAACAGAATAGACATGGGGATGTAAAGCACAGCCTGGGGAATGTAGTTAATAATATTCTAATAAGTATGTATGGTGTCAGATGGAAATAAGATTTATTGGGATGATCACTTAGTTATATAATGTCTAATAACTGGGGTTTACACCTGACACTAATACAATATTTTATGTCAACTATCATGAAAAGAAATGATTTAAAATTAAAAAAGATTAATGACAATATTCCTGATGACAGAATATTCAATGTGTTCTAATTCTCTAATTTTCTATGTGCTTAAAAAATAATAAAATGTTGCTATACATTTCAAAAGTATGTAAAAGGTATTAAGATTAAAATGCAGGTGCTTTTCTTTAATACCATCATTTTGTTGTATCAGAAAGTAATAACTATGTGGTAAATTCCTTTTTTTAAAAAAAAAAAAAAGGGAGCACAGTTTTTTATCCTCACCAAGGATATGCTTTTTGATTTTATAGAGAGAGAGAAACATCAATGTGAGAGAGGAAATATTGACCAGTTGCCTCTGCCCTGGGCCCCAACTGGGGATCGAACCTACAACCTTGTGGTTTGTGGGACAACGTTCCAACCGAGCCACACGGGCAGGACTGGTGAATGCCTTTATGCATCGTGGGTTTCCTCCCTAAGATGAGCACTGGTGGACATTTTCTACATCGGGATGGAGGCCAGGGCTACTCATTTCTACAAAGCAAACGGGAGACACATGACTGAGAAAATACCTCGAGATGAAACTGGAGACAACACAAACATTTCCGACAAAGGGGAAGACAAACGAATGTTCGGCTAGAAATGTCATTTTATTTTAAAACACATCCAGATTAATAAATATTGGAAAACTTAACAAATAGCCTTTTTATTTACATAAGGCAATTACATGCTATGACTAGTTCTATACAGCAAAATGTAAGCAAGTCAGCCATTGACAAATGTGTGAGCGTGGTCATCGGAAGCTCCCGGGACGTTTACATGAGAAACCTTTGAATGCAACCCGTCCACATTTTACATTGTTTAAATTTCGTCGTCTTCTTCTCTTTCATGATTATGTTCCCTTTTATAAGGAAGTAACAGTGAATGAAAAAGACTCAGGAATGGTTCTCAAAAACTAGCAACCTTAAATTTTTTCAAAGTGCAAAAACACCAACAGAAGGTGGGGGGGGGGGAGCAAAGTATTCTAGGCTGATAAGTAAAAGAAATGCCAAACTTTTCAAAGAGATCCTTTGGCACTAGTGGTCCAGCAGCGCCAGACCGTCACCTGGTGTCAGGCAGTCCGCTGTCGGGGCGGAGTGGCTGGAAAGCACGAAGTTCAGCATCATTCACAGCACGTTTCACACAACAGAGTCGATCTGGTTTGCAAGCCGTGGAATCTCCTGCAGAACAGAAACCTACGGAGGATGCCGAAGAAGCGCATCACCCCATCAGAGTGTGACCATTCAGCACTGCTTTCCAAGTCCCCATTTAACCTCCCTATTTTACAGTGGAACATAGAACATTCTTCCTCTTAAAATAAACAAAGAAGAAAACTAAAGCTTCATGAAATGACGCAAACTTCACAGCCAGCGCTTCCCTTGCTTATTATTCAGTGCTTGAAGCTGCACGTCCACAGCCTCGTCCTGAGCAGACAGGAGGCCCGGATGAGACGAGTGTTCCTGGTCACCCCCAGGCCATCCTGCACATGACACTGTCACCCGAGGCTGCTGGCACCGGCTCAAGTACAAGCACCCTCGGACAGTCGATTTGGAGAACCAACCCAACCCTTTAGAGGTAGAGAAACTGAGGCACAGAAAGGTAAAGTGACTCACCTAGAGTTGCACGATTCAAGAACAAATAGAGAAAAGAACTAATAAATCCTTCTCCCTGGTCATGCTCTGGGCTCTAGCCTATGTTCCTATCCCACTGGCTACATTAGAAATAGATGTTATTTACACGATCCTTGTTCTACTGAGTATGTCCTTTTTACTAGATGATTATTTTTTTTATGTAACAAGGTTACATTTTCTTAAAATAGAATTCTTTTGTTGCATTTATCAGCATGTGAGAAACTTATATGAAAATAAATGAGGCGTGATATTGGGTCAAATCCTTCTTCCCATCACTATTATTCTTAATCTTTGCAGGTACACAATGGAGGTATAAGAATCCGGTTAGATGTAAAAAGTCACCAAAAACCCCTGGCTGGCATGGCTCGGTGGACTGAGTGCTGGCCTGCAAACTGAAGGATCGCTGGTTTAATTCCCAGTCAGGGCACATGCCTGGGTTGCCGGCCAGGTCCCCAGCAGGGGGCGTGTGAGAGGCAACCACACACTGATGTTTCTCTCCCTCTCTTTCTCCCTGGCTTCCCTTCTCTGAAAATAAATAAATAAAATCTTTAAAAAAATTAAATCACTGAAAGCTAAAGGGCTGACTGTTAAAGTTCATCAGCAGTACAAATGTGAGGTGGAAGTGAGAATATTGAGGTATTTGATATGACAAACCATTTTGTGGAGTGACTGGTGTGTGCGCATGACCTTTCCCCTTTGCACTCACGTTCACGGACCTCTAGCTATGAATGTGACACATGTGAAAAACTCACAGACATACTCTTGGAAGCAAGGCCCGTGATAATGAGTGAATGTTGCATGTGTGGTCCCTGAGAAAGCAGAACACCAAGACTCCATCCAAGCCTGCTCCATGCGTGACCTATGTCCCACACAGTGAGCACGACTCCTGCAGACCCCTGGGGCCCAGCAGACAGTTGGGAACAGCACTGAACAGAAGTACACTTCCCCCGTTGTCTACTCATTCAACGGAAGCCCAAGCCAAGATTAAGGTCACATCAGCAAAGAGCCGCAGGTGTGGATCAGCCACCTACCGGAGCAGCGTTTGCTCAGCTCTTGGAGATGAGTCCAGCAACTTGGAAAAGAGGGATCTCTCCCAACGCCAGGGGCCTGTGCTCTTTAACGCCTCAGGGCCCCGGGGCCGGAAGTGGTCGCCCACACCTGGGAGACGCTGCCCCTCGGGTGCTTCACACCTGTCTAGGAACTGTCCTCCGGAAGCGAGCCCCGTAGCTACCAAGAGCTGAGCTGTGGGGAAGGATAAGGAGAGGCGACCGTATCCTGTAATAGCACTCATTTCTAGCAGACGTGAGTCCCAGAGAAAAGACAAAGACCAACCTGCTACTGCCGGAATGGACTTTTGCAAATGAAACTCAGTGTGACAAACAGACTGGAAAGGTAGGAATTGGAGTATTTCTTATTGCTGAACCAGGAGGGTCCTCCCTGAAGTTCCCACTGTGGGCAGATCTCACCCCACACATTGCCAGGAGCTGACCACCCCTGTCCCCAGAACCTTCTCTGCAGAGACAGAGCCACCCTGCAGAACAGCTCAACGCCCGGGGAGGGTATGGGACTTGGTTTGGGTAGGAACCCTTAATACAGTCTACACTTGATCCGTGAGCAACCTTTTTAAATGCCCAGATTCTGATGAGAAAATAAGGCATCATCCAAGTTAGGAGAGGAGAGAAATGCCTATATAAGTATCTCTCCATAGCAAATCTGCATATTGTGATCAAAAACATTTCCAAGGCAGCTTGAAAACAAGCACACAGTAGGTATTTTTCTTCGTTTTATCAGAGATAAAACCCAAAGGATAGGCTGACAATGAAAATGTTTTATGTGTGTTTACTTCTGCAGACACCCATGACCCCTGCAGGCCCTTGATGAAACTCTCACTTCCAAACTTTTTTTCTTTGCCATTCCAAATGAATTATGGACACACAGACTTGTAAGAGAAATGTGGTCAAGTCAGAAGTCAAGGTTGACAATTAGGCTGTTAGAGCTCCGGTCACGTCCATTGCTCTGAGGGTGGAGTGCCACACGTGAAATGCCATGGACAATGTGACCTTGGTTCCACTAGAAGGAAAGCTGCATCTCCGACCAAGATCATCTGCTGACTAGACATGAACTTGGGAGACCCACCTGGCCTGGGACCAGCTGCCTTCAAAGGAAGGTGCGTCATGAACACTTTGAGGGTTTTGTTTTACTCTAAAAAAATCATGGAGACGATTTTCCTGAAAACATCTCCTCTGAGTACCTGTGGTATAATTGCGAATGAAAATATAATAAGGAACACCAACAAAGGAGTTTCAGCTAAGCTTCCTAGGTAAGTTGTAACAAAAAGCAAAACCAATAACTTTGGCACAACTTGTACCTTTCTCAGTATAAGCGTATTGCCATGCGTATTCTTTCAATTTCTCAAAGAGGAATCCTGACCTGGGGAACTATTTGTATACCTAAAAGTAAACTAACACGGCTACATTAGATTTTTCGGAAAGTTCAGTTCCATAAATTAAGGCCTGCATTCCTTAAAATACTGAGATTAAAAAACAAACCTCTGCGAGCTGATCGAAAGAGTGAGGAACTTTTTGAACATTTATTAACTATCAGTAAATAGATATTTTTTAACTGTTTAAATAATGTTGTTGCTGCTCTTACTTCATGAGTCACTGACAACCCACGATCGTCCCATGGACGTTGAATTCACAAATGTGTTCTTCACTCTGTGCGAGCATCACGTTCTGCTCAGCCTCTTTGGCCAACACCTGAGGATACTATTCCTTGGGCCTTTAGAAATGTTCTCTTTCGGCCGGAAAAGCATACTTTTTCTCTAGTGAATGACTGTAGTTGGGTATTATCAGATTCCATGTTCTGCCTCGGCTCATCTCCGTCGCCCTGCCCCGCCCTCCAAGGCGGCACAGCTGCCTATTTAGACAAAACACCGCAGGCGAAGCACACGGTATCTGGATGAAATAACACTTCACTCTGCGCTTTGTTCCCTTTGATACACGGGGGAGGTTACTCTAAACAGATGAATGGTCTCTTTGACCCACAGATCAGCATAATTAATGGCTCTTCAGTATTTCAGAAATTTAAGAAGAGTCGGGTGAGTAACTGTAGGGGGTTCCGCCACCTCTCGCAACAGGGAGCCGGCTAAATGAAATGGTTCTCATTTCCGCTGGAGAATCGTTTGCATCTCCCGCTGGGCGCTCCCGGTTGACTGGCCGCAGCTTGTCCGTGTCCCTTAGCTTGTTCCCGCTCCACAGGGAACCTGATATGTGCGGGGCTGGGCAGTCACCCTCTGCTCTCACAGCCTGATGATCAAGTTAAATAATTCAGTTCTCCTGCGTGGCCCCAGTGGTCGCTGAAAGAGAACGTGGGTATGCTTGATACTGGATCCCAGTTACACAGACTGAATGCAAACAAAAGACCTCATGCTACTAAGTCAACCGTCTTTAGTTGGGCAAGAACTGCATGCTCATAGGGTCGATCGCTCTAACGTGTCTTCAGTCTGTCTTCCAACAAACGAATATCCAGTCACTTATAACCACTCGACACCTTTCCATGTTAAATAGTGAAACAGTGAAGTAATACTCAAGGAGGTGGCGTTACTCTAAGCTAAGAGAACATACACACAGTCCGAGTCAAATTAAGTGAGCAGTTCAAGTGGTAAAGGCACTGAAATTGATCGAAGCTGCGGAGAGTCCTCCTGGCAACGGAGCGTGGTGGGCCCGGCCACTCTCCTGTCTGCATCCGCAGTCAGCGTGTGGTGGGTGGGGGAGGGAGAGTCAGCTCCTCAGGGGGCTAGAAACAATGAAATGTATACGCCTCTTCATCGGGGCGAGGGGATACAGGCTCAATGCAAAATAACACAACTACGGATGCATTTACTGTACAGAGTCAGGTTCGACACACTCCACGTCCAAAGTGATGGTCCCAGGAGGGACATCTGGCCTGCCAGGACTAACCACACGGAGCCCGCCTCTGTTTTCTACTTAAAGAATGGTAAAACATTTGAAAAGAAAGGGTAGTCATGAAAGCTTCCAGGTTCGTTATGATGCACGTGAGATTCCGCTCAGAGAGATGACGCCCAGGCGACCACGCGGCAACTTCGGGCCCACAGAGGGCCAGGCCCCCCCGCCCCGTCCACTAGACCGCTCCCTGACAGACGAGCAACTCTAGTCCCAGTGACTTGGGGTCTCTTGTCCCTCCCACCCTGTTGGGACCAGAAACCATGCCCACTTCCCCGTTCCTCGCGCCAGCCCAGCCCCTGCCGCCCGCTAGTCCGTTTTCACGTTGGACTTGTTCATCTCGCCCAGGTTGAAGTTGAACTCCTTGAACACCTGGATGAGGACGATCCCCACGGAGACGGTGGTGAAGCCGCAGGCCATCCCCAGGAAGTCCACCAGGCCCACGTTGCTCCACTCCCGGAAGAGGATGGCGGAGGCCAGCAGGACCAGCGTGGTGAAGACCACGTAGTAGATGGCCCCGAACACGGACGAGTCGAAGCACTCGAGCGCCTTGTTGATGTACCTGAACTGGATGATGATGCTGCAGCCGAGCACGGCCAGGAGCACCAGGCACAGGCAGAGGGCCCGCTGGCTGGACGGGTTGTTGTGGAAGATGTCTTGGGCCGCCAGCCCGATGCCCTTGGTGGAAGGCACGGTGAAGCTCCCCAGCAGGGAGCAGATGCTGATGTAGACCATGATGTTGGTGGGCCCGTGCGCCGGTGCGATCCAGAAGATGAGCAGCAGCAGCATGAGGAGCACGATGCACAGGTAGCCCACGAACACTGCAAAACACGGGGTGTCTGGCGTTAGAGGCAGCCGGGCAAACTAGGCAGGGGGTGGGTGCCCCTGTGTTCACGTCTTGGGGGGGGGGGCACTGGGAAAGCAGGATGACTCAGGGACAGAGAGGAAGACTGCACCCCATGGGCAGAGGCCAGGGGCCCAGGCATGTGTAGACGGTTCTACCGGATCAAAATGCAACCCAGCCCTGGCAACCCAACCCAGCTACTGGTGTGGTCCAGTAGACTGAGCACTGGCCTGTGCGTGAACCAAAGGGTCTCCTGTTGGATTCCCAGTCAGGGCACATGTCTGGGCTGCAGGCCAGGTCCCCAGTAGGGGGCACTCGAGAGGCAACCACGCATTGATATTTCTTTCCCTCTCTTCCCCTCTCTAAAGATAAATAAATAAAATCTTTTTTTTTAAAGTATTCATGTTAAAGAGAAAAAGCTCTGGCTGCCATTGTGTCTTTATACCAAACTATTCAAATCAGACAAAATGTTTTTTGTACAAGTCAGGACCTGCCTGTAGTGGCAACACCCACAATCATCAAAAAGCAAAAGCCTTAGCCCTGGCTGGCATAGCTCAGTGGACTGAGCGCAGGCTGTGAACGAAAGCATTGTAGGTTTGATTCCCAGTCAGGGCACATGCCTGGGTTGCAGGCCATGGCCCCCCGCAACCGCACATTGATGTTTCTCTCTCTCTTTCTCCCTCCCTTCCCTCTCTAAAAATAAATAAATAAAATCTAAAAAAAAAAAAAGCAAAAGCCTTCACACACAGTGCTCTGAATGGTCGATAAAGGGCTATATTTCGCCATGTATAATGCACACCTATGACTGTGTGTGCATTATACATGGGATTATTATACTCATGTATAATGAGCATCCTTATATTCCCTCAAAAAATTTTTTGAGAAAAGTGAGCATTATACATGGCAAAATACGGTAAGTCCCTTGGGACGCTCAGCTCTAGCTTTCTGACCTGTCCAGTCTCTGTAATGTAACTGTTTTGTCTTTTACAGGAGGAAATGAAGACCACCATGCTGAGTGTCCAGGCGTGGGAAGTTACAGCCTCGGAGAGCTTCACAATGAATTCCCTTTTCGTATCTCACAGACATCTCGTGGCAGTGTCCCCGTGGCCACGGAAAGCTTCAGAGGAGCGGGAGACTCTCCGTGGCCGGACACACCTGTGTCAGGACATGGGGGCTGCAGTTTGGGGTTGGCCCCTGTCTCAAGGTGTCAGTCAGGAACACAGATGGTCTACTGGAAGGAATGTCAGAGAATCTCTACTCTTAGACCAGTATAATTATCCCAATTATTGGTTTTGTACTGCACTTGTCAAAAAAATAACTTATCGTACATCAAAAATACACAGGAAAAAGGGAGACCTCTGTGGGGAGCATTAAGATAAATCAAACTGGGCTATGGCTCTCAGACAGCGACACACCAGGGGAGGTGGGGCCGGGACACAGGTGGTCCCCAACGTGGGGGCCTAGAGCTAACCCAACAAGATGGCACAGGTGCTAGAGGCAGGGGCACTCTGCACAGGACAGCAGAGGGTCTGGGGACATGGCACGGTGTCCCCCAGAGGCTCACACAGGACACCCGAAGGCTAGAAGGGGTCACCTGGATTAGTCAGCTTCTCCTCCAGCTCGGCCTGCGTGGTCACACTCTCAGATTTCGGGGAGTGGATGATCAGCACGACAGAGCCTGCACAGCTGAGCAGACACCCCAACTTGCCCAGGATGTTGAGCTTCTCCTTCAGAAGATAAGAGGCTAAAATGGACCTTGGATTAAAAGAAGAGAAATCAGAGCTGAAATCACACTATCAGACCTGTGTCTACCCATTGCAGTTACTTTAGAAAAGCCACATTTAAAAAAAAAATATTTTATTTATTTCGTTTTAGGGAGGGGAAGGGAGGGAGAAAGAGAGGGAGAGAAACATCAGTGTGTGGTTGCCTCTAACGCGCCCCCTACTGGGGACCTGGCCCACAACCCAGGCATGTGCCCTGACTGGGAATTGAACCAGTGACCTTTCAGTCTGCAGGCTGGTGCTCAATCCACTGAACCACACCAGCCAGAGTAGAAAACCCACATTTTCTTTCAAGAAAAATTTTTATTGCTAACACTATGAGGCTACATTTTCTTTTCTTTCATATATAAAAAATATATATATATTTGTGATAAAAGGAGTATTCAAGAGCTGCACAATTTTGGAATAACACCTTTCCACAAGAATTAGTCACTTAGGCCTATCAATTAAGGCTCAACTCTAACACCTGGGTTCTCCTACCATTCCCCGTTACTTTTTAATTACCTTATTTCTGTAGGGTTAGTTTACAAACTAAATCAACATGAGATACAAAAGCTACACAATGTCAGAAGGAGGGCAGGCTTCTGCCTCAGAGCCTGTTCCCTCTACACCAAAGAAAAATAAGCCTGCCACCCTCTGCCAGGCCAGCCCGATGCGGGCTGTGCTCAGAGTTCCTTCCCATCCAAAATAGCATCCGCTCAGAAATGCAGGCAGCCACAGCATGGTCTTCCCGGCATCCTCGAGGAAGAAGAGAGCCCCAGAGACAGAGAGAGGGGGCTGCATTTTCTATATAGCTGTATTTTACTTTTGAGTTTGTAAGAGTGGAAAGATCAAAAATTTATTGAACCCTATTCACCATAAACAGGATTTTCACATGAACTCTATGCACAGCCAGTGCACAGTTAATGTATACACAGCTCGCTGTGGTGTTGCTCCGTGGGTATGAAATATACCAGAGTAGGAAAGTAAGTTTTCCTTTTTTTTTTTAAAGAGGGGCCTGTTCTGGCCTTACCATTTTTTAAGAGATTTTATTTATTTATTTTTAGAGAGAGGGGAGGGGGGAGAAAGAGAGAAACATCAATGTGTGGTTGCCTGTTGTGCGCACCCTAGTGGGGGATCTGGTCTGCAGCCCAGGCATGTGCCCTGACTGCAAATCAAACTGGAGACCTTTCACTCTGCGGGAGGATATCCAACCCACTGAGCCCCATGGGCCAGGGCAGAAAACCTGGGCCTTTAGGAAATCCTGCGACTGGCCACTGCCACATTCCTAGTGTCACACCGAAGGCAATCAGGGGCCAGGAAGATCTTCGAGGAGGAGGCGGCCAGGCCATATCAAACAGGATTGTTTCCATTTTAATTCTCATTTTACTGATAGATAAACTGAGCCTCAGGAAGGATTACTTTGAACCCAAGGCCACCAAGCCAACAGGAGGTGACATCATGGTGGCAACACTCCCGTGTAGTAGCCCAGGCTGCCATCTTCTTCCTCATACCCTTTGTGTCTGTCCCTCAAGGGAGCCCAGCAGTGGCACAGGGCATCAGAAATGTCACTGAAAGGGCCAGCGAGTGACATCAGAACGCAGGGGCTCTGAGTAACTCTGCACAGGAGGGAACCAGAGGGCAGAGTGGGGGGGGGGAGGGGAGAGCGGAGAAGGGGACTCTCAGGAGCAGGAGGAGGTGGGCCTGGAACCAGCCTGGGAGGTGGGCTCTGCCACAGTGGGGAGGGGCTGGCGTGCAGGAAGACATAGGCAGAAACAAGCCTGGCCCATGAGGCTGTTAACTTAAATAAAAAGGCCTTTCAAGCTGAGTGGCAACAAGCAGGTACTGAGATCAGTAAGAACAGCTATTTGGGAAGCAATGACTCAGGCAGAAGCCCAAATAGCGTCCAAATCAGGGGACAAAGGTGACACATATTTGTGTTACAGTCCCAAGGTTCCTGTACCCTAAGCGTTAAGAGAAAGGCCAGTATTGAAAAGATCAGAGGTTTGGAGTAGGGAAAGGCTAATTGGTAGGGAAGGCCTACTTCGAGAAGAGGGGAGAACTAGATCTGGCTGTTGTGGCTCAGTGGACTGAATGCCAGCCTGTGAACCAGAGAGTCGTCAGGTCGACACCCAGTCATAGCACATGCCTGGGTTCTGGGCCAGGTCCCCAGTAGGGGGTGCATGAGAGGCAACCACACAATGATGTTTCTCTCTCTCTCTCTTTCCCCCTTCCTTCCCCTCTGTTTAAAAATAAATAAAATCTTTTTTTTTAATTTATTTATTTTTTAGAGAGGGAAGGGAGGGAGAAAGAGAGAGAGAGAAACATCAATGTGTGGTTGCTGGGGATCATGGCCTGCAGGACCCAGGCATGTGCCCTGACTGGGAATCGAACCTGCAACACTTTGGTTCGCAGCCTGCGCTCAATCCACTGAGCTATGCCAGCTAGGGCTAAATGAATAAAATCTTTAAAAAATAACTTTTATTGGGATCCTCAGTTAAAGGCAGCCTTTTATCCATAATACCATCTCACATTTTTTTTTTTGAATGAGTGACGTCTTCCGAAGACTTGGAGCAATGTGCATTCCCGGTGAGGTGACTTAATTATTGAAGTCCATCAGAACAGCTCTTTGGAAATTAACCAGGCAAGGCATTTCCATACCTACACTTAAACATGCAATGTGCAAAGATCGCAGCCTCGGGTTGCTTGTTTACCTGGTTATTTTTCAAGGGAACGAGTCAGACACTGATGCTAAGGTCTGGGAAGCTGGAGTAATGATTTCCCGACGTGAGCACCACTCAGGCAACGGGAGATTTGGGGGGCCAACCAACGTGCAAAATGACGTCAAGCCGTGTATGATATGAGCCTCATGTCTGGATAAGGGCAGCGTGTTATTGTACAGACACATTTTCAAAGGTTCGCCTGTGTAAAATGTATTTGTGCTTTTTAGATCAGAGAAACTTAAAGCTTAAAAACACAAAATTAGATTCGTCCATCATAGTCCTGGCAGGTTGGAGCATCGTCCCATGAACTGAAAGGTCGTGGGTTCGATTCCCAGTTAGGGTGCGCACGTAGGTTACAGGTTTGGTCCCTGGTTGGGGTGTGAGCGAGAGGCAACCGATCGATGTTTCCCTCTGACATTGATATTCCTCTCCTTCCCTCCCCCCTCTCTAAAAATCAGTAATCATGCCCTTGGGTGAGGGTGGATAAATAAACTAATTAATTAATTAGTTAATTAATTAATACATCCACCACAGACACACATCTGCCCAAAGATTCGGGGTCTGTCTGGAACACAGCAGAAGACCAATGTCTTCTGAATGAGACATTCAATGAATGAGAACCTTGGGTTTTCTTTCTCTTCTATCACATCTTCATGATTTCTTCAACAGCAAAGCAGAATACAACTAAGTTCACGGGAAGAGCTGTGTTATTTAGTCCTTTCTGTATAATAACATATAATAAAAAGATTCCATCTGTGACGTCCGGTGGTGGCTGGGAGCCTTCATGTCCCCTCTCCTCCCTTATCCTGTTTGCCCCACACCTGGGCAACCTGGTAAGAAGGCCTGCGAGTGTGCTTGGGTCCCGCTGTCCCCAGTCCCTTGGCAAGCCCCAGCCCGAGCTGAGGGTGGGCACCCCCGCCCAGCTCACCTCCTAACTCCAGTAAAAACCCAAAGCCCTGCCTCCCTTCAGGTTCGCCCCAGACCAGGGGTGTCCAAGCTGTGGTCCCCAGGACACATGAGGCCCAGGATAACTGTGAATGTGGCCCAACACAAAATCAGAAATTTACTTAAGACCTTTCTTTTGCTCATCAGTTTTCATTAGCATTTGTGTATTGAATGTGTGGCCCGAGATAACTCCTCTTCTCCCAGTGTGGCCCCGAGATGCCAAAAGATGAGGCAGCCCTGCTCCAGACCAAACCAGAGCCCACTCCTGGGGGATCCAGTTGCTGTTGACTCTGGTGAGATGTGAATTTTGTCACACACCCAGTGGCGCCCAGGTGTGACTTGTCCCAGCCTCCACAGTCTCCCAGGGTGGGGGGGAGGGGGGCTGCTCAGTGTCCAGCAGGGAATGGTAGGCGCCCAAATAAAATACCACCTGACTAGTTCTGCTTAAGGATTTCTCTGAATCACTTGCCAAGGCGCCGGGAAAACTCTAGTCTCTCAGACGTCCTCCAGAGCCAACTCAGAGAATGATAGCACAACACTTGTTGATCCCCAGGAGTAAGTTAGGATTTGAAATATAACTAAAGCACATTTCTAAGACAAGGGTCAACAATTCACACAACTAAATTTAAAGGAATAGCCCTGGCTGGTATGGCTTAGTGGACTGAGTGCCAGCCTGAAAACCAAAGGGTCGCCGGTTCGATTCCCAGTCAGGGTGCATGCCCAGGTACCTGGAAAGGTCCCCAGTAGCAGGTGAGCGAGAGTCAACCCTATATTGATGTTTCTCTCCCTCACTCTAAAATCTTTAAAAATAATACATTTGAAGGAATGAAACTAAACCATATAGAGGAGAACACTGAAGAACTGTCTTCAGTTACGATTTTCCTTTAACTATTTGAACAGAAACATTAAAAATAAAAAGTTTCCATTTTACATATATGGCACATTAAAACCCAAAACACAGAACACCAGCGCTCACCCAAATGGCACTCCAAGGGCACCCAGGGGTGTCACCAGGACCGTGGGGACCGCCGTGTAAGCCAGGAAGTTTCCAATCTGGCCAACAGCCACTGTGGAGAGAATCACAGGATGTCACTTGCAATGACAGCGCCCTCTCCTGGCAAGGATCCGAGTTGCATTTGGGTAGGCTAAGCCTTGAACCAGCCACTTTCCAGCTTATGAGAAACCACTTGTTGGGGAAGAAGCATTATTTGCACGTTTAAGGGCCGAGACAGCAACGGAGAGCAGCACCCGCCCCCTCTCCCCGCATCACTGTTCTGATTGGTTGGGGAGCAAGGCCCCCTCCCCAGTCACTGTCCCGATAGGTTGGGGAGCAGCTTCAGAGGTCTCCGGAAATTCCCCGGCTAAACCAGTGACTGACAGTGGGTGCAACACTGTATATTTCCACTCTCTCCCTGAAACACCCTTGTTCTAAGACGGATCGTGTTGGGCTCCCCGTGTCCCTGAAATGGCCTGGGACCTGCTCCGGTGTGGCTGCTGGGCCGCACTGACAAAGGACCACCTGGGTGGCAGGGAGCGAGAGCTTAAATAACAGCTCTCCTGTGAAAGCCATCACGTCTGCTAGGTCATTTCTCAACGAAAAGACAATGTGAGACAAATGAACCTTGTGATATTTCTGAAATTTCGCATATTATTTTCCTTTATATATTTAAAAGTTCGAAATCTATAAAGTGCGTTTTTGGTCATAGCACATGAACTGGTCCTTACGGCTGAAGGAAGAAAGCCGCCTTTGTAAAACCAATTATGTTCAGCAAAAACATGTAATTTCACCAAAGGCCAACAGCCCGACTACGCGTGAGTAAGCAGGAGCTATTTTAGTTTCTCTGGGTCCAGCAGAGTGTGGCCTGGGTTAAATTCAGGGCTAACTGCATGGGGCCTACCTCCACCCCCGCCCCCACGCCCCCATCTCATCCTCCCCCGACCCCACCCCAGTCCCACCAGGGGAATGACTGATTTTAACAAAGAAAGAAAACAAGCTCACCACACAGGGTACTTACTTGCAATGGTGCCTGCCCACCACACAATGTCCGTTAAATAGGAGGTACCTATGAAAGAGCAAGATGGAAATGTCAGAGAGGCAAGAAGCAAGAGGGTTAAAAGCTGCATACTTAAGAGAGGAATTACATGAAAACTAAAACTGAAGGGACCAGAACGCCCTGGCCGGATAGCTCAGTTGGTTAGAGTGTTGTGTGGATGCACCGGAGTTGCAGGTTCGCTACCTGCTCCAGGCACATAGAAGAATCAACCAGTGAATGCGTAAGTGGAACAACAAATCCCCCCCACACACACACACACACTCTCTCTCTAACACTGAATATATATTAAAATTCTTTGAAAGAATAATGAATGTCATACTGTAAACTCAGGAATCTTTTAAGTTAGTCTACAAATTGCAGAATGACAAGCCACTAAAAGTGGCAGATGCTTTTTGCAACCAAGTCAAACTGACACAAACAACAAGCTGAACCTTTATGATTTAGGGTGCAGGGGTGCAACACGCACCCCCCCAGAGACACAGATATTCATTGGAATAAAGTATTTTTAAATATAATCCTCACCTCAGGACATGCTTATAGATTTTAGAGGGAGGGGAAGGGACAGAGGGGGAGAGAGAGCCATCAGTCAGTTGCCTCTTGCATGTGCTCTGACTGGGAACTGAACCTGTGACCTATGGGTTTAAGGGACGATCCTCCCACCAACAGACAGCCACCTGGTCCAGGGCTGGAGTAAAGTTTTATGTTCCTTTCAAATGAGGTTTGTTCTTCAAAGTCCAATTTTCTCATGCATTTACTATAACCAATTCATACAAAATTGCTTTACAGGCTACTCAGCATAATTTAGAACCTTTCTGGGGTGGCTCTTTGCCAACCACCAGCGCAGCCCACCTGTGAACTCTCCCTTGGTGCTGGGACGTTTGCTGAGTCCCCTGTACTCCCCTCAGCCCACCATAGCTGTCCCCTCTTCCTGCTGGGCGACAGCACCTTCAGCAAGAGGGACTCCCTGCCTCCAAGACACACCTTGGTCCTTCAGGTATGTCAAAATGCTCCCTGTCAGAGAGGTTTCTTTCCACTCAGGGTAAAGTACCTACTTCTGATTGGTCATTTTAATTCTCGGTGATTTGTTATAATTAACACAGGAAGCCAGCCCACCACACGGAGGAGCAGAGCTCTAGCCCTCACAGGAAGTACTTAAAAAAACCAAAGTGACCAAGTGGGAGGAATGGCTGAGTCACAATGTCACCGTTTGGCAACCTCACACGAACAAGCGTCTTAGACAGGAAGCATCAATGAATAGTGACACGAGTCGGTGACCAGGGGCTGAGGAGCGGCCTGGTCACGTGGTCTCCCTGAGGCAGCTCCCCTGGTTCGTCAATAATTATACAAAGAAAAAGTTATCTTTTTTTTTTACTTTGAAGATTTTATTTATTTTTAGAAAGAGGGGAAGGGAGGGAGAGAGACATCAATGTGTGGTTGTATTTCTCACTCCCGCAATGGGGGACCCAGCCCGCAACCCACGCACGTGCCCTGACTGGGAACCGAACCAGCGACCTTTCAGCTCACAGGCCATCACTCAGTCCACTCAGCCACACCCACCAGGGCAGAAAAAGTTATCTTTACCGTTCTTGCATACTCTGACAGACACCACCCTAGCCCAGCAGCGGTCAAAGCAAACAGCGTCAGCAATGGGAGAAATCAGCATCCTGTGCGTCCTCAGAGGTCACTGGGGAGGGCACAGTGTCACCTCATCGGTGTCCCTGCCAAAGTGCATCACTTGTATCTAATCAGGAGGAAGCTGAGACAGTCTAGGAATTAGCTGGCCTGTACCCTTCCGAAGCGGCGAGGTCATGAAAGACACAGGAAGGCTAACACCTGTGGCAGAGAGCAGGGGACTAAGGGCACTGGTGACTAAACACGATGCACGGTGCCTAGTGGGAGACACGACAGTACTGGCAATGGGCCTAGTTTGAGCTGGCGGCTGGGGGACAACACTCAGCCAACAGCGACCTCTGCTGGGCAGCGGCATCCAACCTGGTGGAGAACCATCCGCGGTCGCCCCGACTCGGGGCAGTGGCCCTGGGGACAGGCACCTGTCCCTCGGCCTGGAGCTCTGCCTCCGCTGACAGCCTCCAGCTGGAGAAGGCACGGCCCTGGCAGTCGCTCCCGTCCTCTTCAGTGTGTCTGACGCAAAAGTGGCCCATGCCGCCCTGTGAGTGACAGACTACGGCTGCGCCTAAAATCCACCCCGTTCGCCCTGTGGAGCGGAGCACAGAGTTCACGTGAATCCCCGCGTGTGCTAATCATACCGTGTCTGTTGAAGAGGGTGCACCCACGCCCATGCGTGCTGGGCCTTTAAGAATGAAAGACCGTGAGTCCACGTCCAGAACCTGGGTGTGAGGAAGCTCGTGGGCCAGGTCTTTGGCAAAACAACCCTAACCAGTGAATCCAGTATGAAAACACATTTTTTAAGGCTTTAGAAATTGTCCTAAGAGTATACAGTCTACCAAGACACATTTTCTCAAGAAAACCTACTAAATCTCAGTAAGAACAGTGAGAATCTCTAGCACAGAAGCTTAGATGGGCTCATCTCGCCCCTACAGAGGCCTCCTCACTAAACACATAAACAAACAGCCCTGGCCGGTGTGGCTCAGTAGATTGAGCGTTCAACTGTGAACCAAAGGGTCGCAGGTTCAATTCCCAGTCAGAGCATGTGCCTGGGTTGCGGGCCAGGCCCCCAGTAGGGGGTGCAGGAGAGGCAACCACACACTGATGTTTCTCTCCCTCTCTTCTTCCCTCCCTTCCCCTTTGTCTAAAAAAAAATAAATAAAGTGCATGAAGAGATGCTGAACCTCACTGATCATTAGGGAAATGCAACTCAGGGCTCTGAGGAGAGAGCAGGTCACGTCCACCAGGACGACCACTCGTGCACAGAAAACAGGCGCGGGGGAGGCCGCGGAGCCACTGCACCCTCAGCGTGCGTCAGTGCGAACAGAAGCCGGCGCAGCCGCTGTGGAAAACTGCACCATAGTTACGCAGGTATAGAATCGCCATGTAACCCGGCAATTCCACTTCTGGGACAATACACACCCCAAAGAAGTAAAAGTAGTGACCTGAACACCTGCATTCCCACACCCATGCTCGCGGCAGCATGATTCACGAAAGGCAAAAGAGGGAAACGACCCAAGGGTCCATTGATGAATGAATGGGCGAACAACTGGACAAAATACAATGGACTTGCTCTTTTTTAGTTTAGGAGAAACGGCAGTGAAGGGTGTAAGACGGGCTATTCATCAGCCTTGAAAAAGCATGAAATTCTGACACATGCAACAACATAGGTGAACGTTAGAGGCCAAATGCTAAGTGACATAAGCCAGTAAAAAAGGGACAACTCTTTCACGAGCGCGCTTTTATGAGGTCCCGGCAGGAGCTGCACTCACAGGGACAGGCTGTCACCAGGGGCAAGGGCTGGGAGTGGGAGTTACTGTTCAATGGGCCGTATTTCAGAATGGAATTATAAAAAGTCCTGAAAACGAATAGTGATCGTGTTTACACCACTACATGAATGTGCTTAATGCTACTGAATGGTACAATTAATAAGAAATACTTAAAGTGGTAAGTTTTATGTCATGTATATTTCACCATACACACACAAAAAATAGCTTAAGAAATAGAGGCCTTCCCTGGCTGGTGTGGTTCAGTGGACTGAGTGCTGGCCTGTGAACCAAAGGGTCTTGGGTTTGATTCCCAGTCAGGGCACATGCCTGGGTTGTGGGCCAGGTCCCCAGTAGGGGGCATGCTAGAGGCAACCACACACTGATGTTTCTCTACCTCTCTGTCTCCCTCCATCTTCTCTCAAAAATAAACAAAAATAAAATATTTAAAAGAAAAGAAAATAAAAGTAAAGAAAAGAAAAGCAGAGGCCTGATAATGTTAAGCCCCACAGCTCTCCTGTCATTGTGAGATATGGGTTGACTCACTCCTAAGCCTATAGCACCTGAGTCACAAACCAAAGGCGCGAGGCCGGGGCACCTGGAGCTTTCAGCGTCTGTGGCCCGCCCTGCACTGATGCCATTGCTTTGAACGCAGACCCCTGGTATATTTCCTGCAACCTGGGTGCCACTCAACTTCAGGAGAAGCAGGTGCTGGCTGAGGCCCCTGCCTCGGACCAGGCCACCCACAGACAGTGCTTTTGCTGTGAAAGACTTGTCTTTCAAAATGTCATCTCTTTGCTATTCCCAGGTGCCAAGAAGACGGGCCTCAGGACCATTCTGCAGAGATTTCTGTATCTTCATGTTCCTGATGGTTTGTCTTCACTTTTTTTCCTCCTAGGTCTCCAAGGAGTTACGGGGGACCAGGAAGCAGCAGGCCAAGTTCTTCTGCTCCTTCTGCACATTTGGAATAAGAAACATTTTATGTCCATCAATAAGCTATTGATATTGTTTACTGATGTTATGAATACAGATACAATTTTCTTGTCCTTTTTTGATGTGCATGAAAGAGAAGCAAACAATGCAAGATGGACTATAAGCAGGTGCTTGAGCGGTATTGTTTTCTGTGTTGTACTAGGTGTAAGAGCCCAGGGAAAAGCAGTACTAAGGGACGGCATAGTCGGGTACTAATAAAAACTGGAACTGAAAATGTATTACAAGACACACAAAGACACAGAAAGAAGTAACATATATTACACGTACGAGACAAAGAGGACACGTGCAAGCAGTAGTCAACTGTCTGAGAGAGGGCCTGGATGTCAGATTAACAAAAATTTCAAACCACTAATTCAAAATGTGTTCAGCCCTGGCTGGTGTGGCTCAGTGGATTGAGCGCCGGCCTGGAAACCCAAAAGTCACTGGTTCGATTCCCAGTCCGAGCGAATGCCTGGGTTGCGGGCCAGGTCCCAGGTAGGGGGCACTCGAGAGGAAATCACACACTGATGTTTCTCCTTTTCTATCTCCCTTCCCATTTCCCTAAAAATAAATAAATAAATAAATAAATAAATAAATAAATAAATAAATAAAAATCTTTAAAATGAGTGGTAGGCTGGGCTACAA